TTATTGCTTGAGATATTCAATTGAAATTTAAAATACTTTTTTGTAGTAACAATGTACATCAGTTTGCAAAATTTGCATAACTCTGCCTGCAATATTTGCAAAATTATTTGCCCCTTTGAAACTTAGTAATTTTGGTTAAAGGTTAAAGGTCTTCAAAGATATTTACTTGAAACTTTACACATGCACTTAGGGTCATAATTGGAGGGTCATAATTGTATGTCACTGACCAAGTTCCATAACTCTATCTTGCATTAAGGCTGATTCATATCCCCTTTTCTACTTAGTCTCTTGGTTAATGTTTACATGCAAGTTTTACATATCCCAATAACTATTAAAGATATTTATTTAAAACTTCACATATGCATTTAGGGTCATAATTGTAGGTCACTGACAAAGATCCATAATTCTATCATGCATTTAGGCTGATTTTTCTCCCCTTATTCAACTTAGAAATTCATGGTAAAGTTTTGTTTGTAAGCTGTTATCTCAATAACTACTGAAGGGTTTGTGCCTTTTTTGGGACAATTTTATGCATTCATAATAATAAAGCAGTGATTTACTTGATAAAACATCTTAATAACAAGCCTTTGTACCTTGTCTGTCAAATTTATGTATTCATAGGTAATTAGTATTATTATACTCAATAAATCACCCTTGTGATATTACCTTCCGAATAGTCAAGCCAATACTGTATAATTAGACTCTCTCTAAGGCCTATAACATGAATTTATAAAAAAAAATTAGCCCTTTTGTGAACTTAAAAAATTTAAATTATCAAGGCTCTTTTACTATCAAGCACTTAGAATAGTCGAGCGTGCTGTCCTACCGACAGCTCTTGTTATATGTGTAAAATTTCTCTAATAGAAGTTTTCTTTCAGGTCTTGCACATGTTATAAGTGTCGTTTATATACTTAAAATTTCTTTAATACAAGTATTATTTCAGGTGACTAACGTTATTTGTGTACAATTTCTCTATTTCAAGTATTATTTCAGGTGACTAACGTTATTTGTGTACAATTTCTCTATTTCAAGTATTATTTCAGCTCTCTTAAATGTGTTATAAGGTTACAATTTCTCTATTTCCATTATTTCAGGTCTCTTACATGAGTTATAAGAGTACAATTTCTCTATTTTAAGTACCATATTATTTCAGGTCTCACAAGGGTTATAACTGTTGTTTATGCTTGTACAATGATGTGCTTGATGCTACGCGTACAATTAAACATCATTGGTGGTTACATGTTTGTGGAAAATGTTAAGAAACATCAAGGAATGGTAAGATATTTCAGTTTGGAAATAAATGTAAAGTGGTAAAATTGAATTGAACAGGATACGGAATTTATTTGCAGGGTTATATAATAAGGAGGGTGGAACCGTTACAAGGTGGTCAAGGCATCTGCTCTTAATCTAGGGTTCAGGACGAAGTCTGATGATGACCATATCTTCCTCTTATAACACCAGTACTTATCAGTTACATGAAAATGAATTAAAATGATTTATATAATCTGCAAATGTTTAAATGCATACATTTCAACTAAACTAATCTCAACACCACAAATTTATATAATGAAATTCTTTGATTAACTATGTACGATTTTAAATTCAAAGCAGAACAGTGTCATTACATGTATATAAAATTAACACAGAAAGGAGTTTACTATGTCTGGTTTACCATTAACCTGCTGGAATCAGTATAGAGCATGGCCAGCATATACATTTGTACAGTCTGTCCTGCTGGGCTCCTTGCCAATGCTCCTGTGTTCGGGGATGCGTTCATTTTGATTGCTGCTCCATCCTTGTTGATCTTGTTTTTTATATTCTGTTGATAGTTTTGATATTTATATCCCTTCAACTTCAAATGGACTGTTCCAAATTTAAAGTCAGAGCAAAACTGTTGTAAAAAATTAATTTTAGCAGTTTTATTGTCAATGTTGGAATGTTTTTTTCTCTGGTTTCAGAGTGCAAATGCAGCAATGCATGTGGCACCAACACCTGTACAAGAGAAGTACCTGGCCCTTATAAGGGAATTTTTTGATAAAGGTAACGGTATTCGTATAGTTTAAGGAAATTACGGTACATGTAGATTACAGTAGATACTTCTTCAGTAAAACTGTATTAAAGCTGTCTTTACATAGGTTTAAAGGCATAATTATCAAGTCTCAGAAATTAATAATTTTTTATTTCTGTAAAAAGGGCAAATATTTGTTTGATAATGTTGTAATTTATTTATATCATATGAGATCCTTGTCACCTTTTTTAAGGAAATAGGGCTGTATGTAAAATATTGGTGTTAAAGCTAGGAAAATGTTAACAATGTCCTTACAGAATACTAAATCACTATATCTTAGTAATCACAAAAACATAAAAAGACACATGTTATGACTCAACAATATGATCACTGTGTACCTTTATAGAAACTGTAAAAAGACACAGAAAATAGGAAGCTTTAAGAAAAAAAAAGTTAGCATTTTTTAGGCTTAATGGGCCTTTAAAGCTAGACCAAAAAAGTATTTGCTACCAAAATGCTACTTTGTTATATTAAAACTGTAATGTACGCAAGTTCACCATGGCAACCACAATTGGACATGATTTATTAACTTTATGTTATGGATTTGGAACATGTTAAATGTTTTTATCACCTGAAGTCAATAGCGCCAAATGTGAAATAATTTGTGTCAATGTCCCTTAATTTCCAATTAGTCCAGAACATGTAAAATTGTTCCTAAATTTAAAGGAAATAAGATAATAAAATGAATGTATTGTTTATTAATGATGCATGATCAATGGCAAAGACAAATATTTAAGTACTTGAATAATGTACAAAATAATGTTGCCGAAAAAAAGCTCAGGTTCATTTAAACAAGTTCGAATTTCTTGTAATAATTCTGTTAAGTGAAAGAAATAGCTAAAGACTAATCCAGACGAGAAAGTCTTTACCTGCTTGATATAATACACATGTGGTATCTTTATAACTCTACCAATTACACTAGAAAGTGACCAGTTAAACCAAAAAAAGTCAGATGGAGATAGAAACTGACCAGTTAAATCAGAAATTGACCAGTTAAACCAGTAATTGACCAGTAAAACCAGTAATTGACCAGTAAAACCAGTAACTGACCAGTTAAACCAGTAATTGACCAGTTAAACCAGTAATTGACCAGTAAAACCAGTAACTGACCAGTTAAATCAGAAATTGACCAGTTAAACCAGTAATTGACCAGTAAAACCAGTAACTGACCAGTTAAATCAGAAATTGACCAGTTAAACCAGTAATTGACCAGTAAAACCAGTAATTGACCAGTTAAACCAGTAATTGACCAGTAAAACCAGTAACTGACCAGTTAAATCAGAAATTGACCAGTTAAACCAGTAATTGACCAGTAAAACCAGTAATTGACCAGTAAAACCAGTAATTGACCAGTAAAATCAGAAATTGACCAGTTAAACCAGTAATTGACCAGTAAAACCAGTAATTGACCAGTTAAACCAGAAATTGACCAGTTAAACCAGTAATTGACCAGTAAAATCAGAAATTGACCAGTAAAACCAGTAATTGACCAGTAAAACCAGTAACTGACCAGTAAAATCAGAAATTGACCAGTTAAACCAGTAATTGACCAGTAAAACCAGTAATTGACCAGTTAAACCAGAAATTGACCAGTTAAACCAGTAATTGACCAGTAAAACCAGTAATTGACCAGTAAAACCAGTAATTGACCAGTAAAACCAGTAATTGACCAGTTAAATCAGAAATTGACCAGTTAAACCAGTAATTGACCAGTAAAACCAGTAACTGACCAGTTAAACCAGTAATTGACCAGTTAAACCAGAAATTGACCAGTAAAACCAGTAATTGACCAGTAAAACCAGTAATTGACCAGTTAAACCAGTAACTGACCAGTAAAATCAGAAATTGACCAGTAAAACCAGTAATTGACCAGTAAAACCAGAAATTGACCAGTAAAACCAGTAATTGACCAGTTAAACCAGAAATTGACCAGTTAAACCAGAAATTGACCAGTAAAACCAGTAATTGACCAGTTAAACCAGTAATTGACCAGTAAAACTGGAAAGCGACCAGTTAAACTGGAATGACCTGTAAATTTGGAGTGTCCAGCTAAACCAGAAATTGACCAGTAAAACCAGTAATTGACCAGTAAAACCAGTAATTGACCAGTAAAATCAGAAATTGACCAGTTAAACCAGTAATTGACCAGTAAAACCAGTAACTGACCAGTTAAATCAGAAATTGACCAGTTAAACCAGTAATTGACCAGTAAAACCAGTAACTGACCAGTTAAACCAGTAATTGACCAGTTAAACCAGTAATTGACCAGTAAAAACCAGTAATTGACCAGTAAAATCAGAAATTGACCAGTTAAACCAGTAATTGACCAGTAAAACCAGTAACTGACCAGTTAAATCAGAAATTGACCAGTTAAACCAGTAATTGACCAGTAAAACCAGTAACTGACCAGTTAAATCAGAAATTGACCAGTTAAACCAGTAATTGACCAGTAAAACCAGTAATTGACCAGTAAAATCAGAAATTGACCAGTTAAACCAGAAATTGACCAGTTAAACCAGTAATTGACCAGTAAAACCAGTAATTGACCAGTAAAACCAGTAATTGACCAGTAAAATCAGAAATTGACCAGTTAAACCAGTAATTGACCAGTAAAACCAGTAACTGACCAGTTAAATCAGAAATTGACCAGTTAAACCAGTAATTGACCAGTAAAACCAGTAATTGACCAGTAAAATCAGAAATTGACCAGTTAAACCAGAAATTGACCAGTTAAACCAGAAATTGACCAGTTAAACCAGAAATTGACCAGTTAAATCAGAAATTGACCAGTAAAACCAGTAATTGACCAGTAAAACTGGAAAGCGACCAGTTAAACTGGAATGACCTGTAAATTTGGAGTGTCCAGCTAAACCAGAAACTGACCGGTAAAACCAGAAAGTGACCAGTTAAACTGGAGAATGACCAGTTAAACTGGAGAGTGACCAGTGAAATTGGTGGGTGAACAGTTAAATCAAAAAGTGACATATTGATACGACTTGAAACACAAACAAAATAAACAATCAAAAAACCAAACAAGCATGGACAGTAATTTAAAATAAGTTTTTTTATATAATGAATTTTTGATTATGATTGATAATTTTTCAGGGGTTGTTAGTCTGGTGTCTAAAGTGAAAGAAGCAGTGTATAAAGAAACTAGCAGGTGGGTGAGATATGTAAAAAAAATCAGATGATTTTGTTGAGTATTATAGTAAACAGTGACAATACGGTCTAATTTTTCTTCGCTAGACATGAAGGGATATAGAATCAACATTGTCTGTCAGGCTGTTTGTCTGCTCTTCAGATTAGTGATAGGGAGCCATAGATCAAAAGAAAACATTTCATTACATAACTAGAAAATAAGGGGCAATGGCCTTTTATTAAACAAAAGAAAATTACAAATAAAATGGCCCCTTATTCCACTTCAAGCACAATTCCTTGTGCATTTCTGT